ACACACACACACACAAACTCCGTTCCTAATCAGCAATAAAACTGCGACCTTCAGATAAATTTCACACTGAGCATTTCAAACAGTTATTCCAGATGACTACGTCAGAATTGTAAAATAAGGACTCCAAATAGTCGCAAACCAAAGGCTCAATTGGAATATGAAGCTTCAAAATGCGGATTTCATAACTGTAAACATCATTGCGACTATGTTAAAAAGATCAAATAGCCTATTGGCTTTCTGAAATGGGAAAAACTTGTGAGAATTTCCTCTCGGTGTACTTGTCTTTTAAAATTTGCCCCAACGTCACACTGCACTGTATGGACTTTTCCTATCTTTTCATTTATTTATTTTTTCAACTGCATAACGGTTCATATTTTGGCCTCTGACGATAAGCTATTGTTAATTTAAGAGGAAAGCTTTGTAATGCATTTCTAACTTAATGCAAATGTGTCGCTGTGATTTGAAACACACGTCCCATTCCTTACTCAATCTAATGATGGTCTTTGCATTGTGAATCGTGAGAAAAACTCACCCAAACACCCAGTCCTCTTACCTCAAGTCCAATGGTGCGATTCAGTAAATACACCCCGGGAATTGTATACCTCTGTCGCCCTTTTGCTGCCTCCTGTCCCGTTTTCTTCTGCTGACACCGCTCGTTAAATGGAAGCGTCCGCCCCTCCTCGCCGCCCATTCTCATACAAATCCACCTACACGTTCTGCGGCAGAATCTAAGGTGCTGTGTCTGGGCCAGCACTTATCAAGAGAAACGTCTCACGAGGCGCACAGTTTTTTATTAGGAATAACAGCTTATATTAAAACCAAATATTTTCAACAGTCCTGACACTATTGAAGCAAAGAAATATACAATTTTTTCCATAAATTGGCAGTATGCTAATGCTAACATAAACAGAGCTTGTGTTTATCAGTACACTAAAATCCCCATCATCTTTGAAACTTTTTAATTTATTTTTTATAATTACATTTGGGATAGCAAAAAATTGTCTAATTAGAAAACAAAAATAACTTTTGAATCTCACACTTAACATATTTTAATAGAAAAATGGTTTGGCTACATTAAAGGAAATAAAAAAGCATGTTGTGGTATGTCTACCATGTTCTCATTTAGTGAATAGGGACAAAAGTGAGGAGCATTTGAAGATACAAGAACATTTCTTAAACAAGAAACAATCCTGAGAATGATGGTCAGATTAGGAGATTACTGAGAGTATGGCAGATGATTCTGTTTCCCCAGTCTCCATTTCTTCATAAAAAGGGCAACTTCTCAGACTGAGATAAATCCCTAGAACAATTTTAAACAAAAGAAAGACAAATTGCTGTGCATGCCGCTACCATGAGTAGTTCCTTTGATCCATAATATGATTACGGATTGCTTGTGACATTCAAAAGCTTCTTTACTTCATGGCACTGAGCAGAACAGATTATGAAAGTCGTGTCATCATGCAGGTGAGGCAGTTATGGTCAAATTGGAATGTGCAACAGATTGTGGATTATTCATTCTGCAAGCAAGCTGTAACAGTAAATGTAGCTTTGTGCCTGATCTGTTGGAGCACTGTTGTTGCTGCCAGTCAGTACATGCAAGAATTCCTCCTTCTTCCCTCCTCCTCCTCTCATACCTTTCCTTCCCTCCCATTCCTTCTCCTCCTTCTGATCTCTCACTCTTTTTTCAGGACTAATGTGCTGAATCTTGTCAGTGTAGAATTCCTCCTGTGTAGCATCCAATAATAACTTTTTTACAGGTTCACACTGTCTAAATCTTCTTTGAAATACATTTGCATTTGGATTAAGAAACTATTCTGTCATTTGAATTAATTTTGGATGTCATTTGAATTTATCTAAATTCAAACATGTGTCATGGGGTTTTTATACCTATATATAATGCTATTTAATCTTTTGGTCCTTCACAGGACCAATGAGTTTTGCTGTCACCACAGCAAGCCATAAACAAGTCTAAGATTAAACTTTAACTTTTACAGAAATTACATGATGAATGATAGTCACTGACAAGCAAAAGGTATATTGATATTATCAGTATTATCAGTACTTGATAATGAACTTGTTCATTTGTCCTATAGACATTTGAAATGTTCAGGTTTAGTCAGGCTGAATTCAGATTATACTGACAGTTTGGGAAGGAGGTTGAGGAGGCCAGAATGTTTTATTTCCTGGCATTTCAGAGTTGAAATGGAAAATGTGCTGTGCTCATGCTGTTAGATTTCAATGCGGTATTTGATACAAGTGACTACAACATTCTTTTATGGTTTAAACATGCCACTAAATGGATTGAATTTGGCTGATTTAATTCAAACTTATCTGATAGACTCTAGTTTGTTCATGTTCAAATGATGAGTCATTCTTCTATTAAAATTAGTCATTCCAGATAATTCTAGGCTAGGATTCCTAGTTTTGTACATAGATTCTTTGGCCCTATATTATAAAATTGAATGTCACCAAGTTACCAAATAAGGCACTGGAAATGCAATCATACAAGCAAGTGTTTTCTAACTCTTAACTACTGATTCTTGGGCCCCTGATATGGTATTCTCGGTATTCATGCTGAAAATATGTTTTACCTCTTCAAGATTAGACTGCATCTCTTTCCTATGCTCTCAAAGTCAAACCAATGGAAGTGGATGGCTCTTCTCCTAGGCCTGGTTTTAAGTTTCCCTCTGTTAAAAGAGGCATCAGTTAAACTGAAATTTGAAGTAGAGGCTGGCCTTTGGTCCAGCCGAACTGCAGAAAATGTAACATTGTCTGGCCGTTAAGTTAATGCGCACAATATATTCACTTATTTTTGGGTAGTGGCTAAGCCAACTAGCTTTTTTGCTAACTTGCCGTTAGCTAATATCTAAAGCATTTACATTTCTCCCTGTTCTTTAATGTGTACCAGAAAGACATTAATAAGAATTTCAATGATGAAAATATCAGGACCTTGCTTTTCCTTAATTACATTTGAGCATTTCAAAATTGAAAAAGTACTGGCATAGTTTGTCACATTTTAAATGGTAGTGCTATTAGCTAGAGTGGGGGCTTTTAATTGAAATACATAGGCTGGCTAACAGGAAAGCTTTAGGTGTTGCTCTATTCGATCATTCTTATCATGACATGTGACACATTGGCACCTGTTCAATTTGGCAGCAAACTCAAAGCAAACATATTATCATTATTGTTACTAAACGTAATATCGATGGCTTCGTTCAACTTGGTGTGATGGTACTGCTGTTGTGCATACTGTTTCACTGTCATCGATTACAGGGGCTCTAAAGTAACTTGTGCAGAGATGAAGAAGTGCAGAAACTGACCAAAATGATTGAAGCATGCTGAAAAAGTTAGGTCGTGGAGCATTCCAGTCTAATCACACACCATGTGAAAACAGCTTTGCATGTGCATCACAGGTGTGGAAAGTCGCTTAAGTTAGAAGGAGAAAGCTTCGACAAGAAATGTGCAGAAGAGGCATCTCTTATTTTTTCCAAACTATGCACTGTTTAACAAAAAATGTTGATACATTGCTGTAATTGGGTAATTTTATACCATTTGAACAAGTCAGATTTTTAGAAAATCATTACATAACATGGGTATAAATTTATGTAGTTGAGCTGAAACAAATACAACTTTTGATGTTTGGTTTTTCTTTTCCCACATGAACACAGTTACAGAATGACCTTGGATTTTCTCTACTGGTGCTTGCCCAGGGCCCCATACAGACAAACGGTTCATGTGATAACAGTGACAAGATGCCAGCAAGCCAAATAAACTGTTGCTCGATTCACTATTGTTTGCTTTTCTGCGGTGTGTGAGAAAGAGACACTGTTAGGAAGAAATTTGCACAAACCTAACAGACATCAGTCTGAGATACAGAACATTGTGCAGTTTGAGTAGGATGAGGCGAACAATTCTAAAACCTGCTCTTGGGACTCGCAAAACATAACCTTTGCAGAACACACAGACGCTCACACTATGTAGAAGTACATGGGGGCATAAATGTATGTGGTATGTGTTTCTCCAAAAGAAAATATTCAACTTTATAAGTCTACTGGAAAGCCCCAATAACTACTGATGTGTTATCAGTACAAACATTCACAGGTACAGTTAAAACCAGCCGGGACTGCATTCATGGGTCAGGTCAAGTAACAGTTTATTACAAAGCCCAAGTTTTCATGAGGCTTAATGTTGCAAATAACAAGTATACATTGGTACAATGTCACAGACAGCAGCCAATTCACTGATACTGAGCAATTACATACAATATTTTATATTTATACACATTAGATAGGGAAGTGCACCCATTTCTAATGTTCGTTGTATCAGAGATTTTACAAAACAAAGAAAAAAAAGGAATTCTTATTAGCTCATAAAATCACGCAAGATGGTTGTAGAAGAAGCCAATGAGAGCATCACTGGTAACAATGGCACTCTGTTTGTTTTCTTGACCAGTCATGTGTGTTAAAGCAATGCCAAAGAGGAAAAACACCAGCTGTGACCTTAGTTAGGTAATTGGCCAAGGTTGTCCAAGGAAAATAGAGAAGAGCTCAATCTCAGACTCTAGTTTAAATTTCATGATAGTACAAATAGGAAAAGACTGAGTATGTTAAGAAGGGATCCCAGAGAAAGGCTCTCCTTTTTAAAAAGAACATAGTGCCACAGCTCAGGATTCTTCTTCTTCTGGAACAATGTTTTTCCAGACAATGCCAAAGATGTTTGGAGGTTGGAGCGAACACAAACTTACAGCATCTCTCACATCATTGTGACGTATGATGATTAACAGTTTACATTCAATGGCTGACTTTCTAAAACTTGCCAAATGACAGCTAAGTTCTCCAGTATGAAACCTCAAGATGATATTGTTTTAGTTTTAATCACTTCTCTTTTTGTGAGAAATAAGCAACACAAGGAGTAATTAGCTGGGACTCTCTTCTGCTTCTCTAAGTATGCTCTGTCTGAAACAGCAGCTACCCTCCTTGCTTGTTCCTTCCACTGTTTTCAAAACTCCAGTCATGCCCTCTTGGGCGAGTGAAGGAGTAAAAAGGTATGCCCCCCCCCCCACCCCTCTTCAGGCTTGAAGCTGAACCTTTTGCTGGCATGTCCTAACCCCAAAAAACAGAAACTTTACACTTTTGTTAGTCCAGAGCTCTTTCTGTATGTCCACGCTCGGGTTTCGATTCCTCAGTGACACCTTCAGGAAAAGGTGTGTGATAAAGAAAGTAAATCAGGAATGCCGATGACATCACATGCAAATAATGAGGGAAAACAATGGCAGCTTGTAAGGTTGTGTGTGGACATATAAGTATTGCTTTAAACAGGTAGCTTTAGGACACACACTCCTCTTCGTCCACACCCTTCCTCCTCCA